CTTGTTTTACAATCGATGTAACAGATTTATCAAACTTAATGAATTCTTTATCATCATCAAATAAAAAAACACAGTCCACATAGTCTTCCAATTTAGAATTGACATTCTTTAGATCGTTTTTATTCCAATGTATTTGAAAACATAAATTAAAATTACAATTCTTCAACCAAACTGGTCTGTAAAGATGCTGAATCAATGGTTTTTCTGTGGTATCTGATGGATTTGGCTCGTAACATATGAAATAACTATATTTTGGTTCATATTTTGCCAGATTATGAGCATTTGGAAAGAAATTTAAAATAAGTTTTTTGAAAACAATGTTTGTTGGTTCCGTCTCATAGTTTTCAGGATGTTCACGTTTAAAAGTACAATAGAACACTGAATCAGATTTAATATTAGGTTTATGATCAGATGGATTAGCTTGGATTCCTTTTCTTTTGTTCATGTTTATTGATGGAAGGTCATTACCTTCACAATATGTTTTTACATTTGATGGTAGACATGTTATTTATTTGTTTGTGTGTTTTTTTTTGTTGTGGGTATTTTTTGTCTTTATGCTGGATTTCATGGTGTTTAAATAAAATATAACGCGTGATACAAAGGGCCGAAATTGGGCTACCAGACTCTAGTTTTTTGCTTCAAAAGGAATGGGCGCAAGTTGTAATATTTTTAATTATAGTACAAAAAATTAACCATTCGGACAAAGTCCTTTTGCAGTAAAGCACAAAGAAATTTGGCACTAAAGAATATTCATTTTCTTTGTTTCAAGAATTTGCTCACGAATATCATGAGAAAATGACGCGTATGAATATTAACAGTTATCTTGTCGCTTAACTATACCCATACTTTGGACAACTCCTTTAGCTCGTATAATCGCATGTATAAAGTCTAATCACAATCATATCTGATACTGATTATGTCTGATATGAATTTATAATCATAAGGATTTGAAAAGACCGAAAATTCGAACTGTCAATAAGAGTCATGGCAATTGACTAAGAGATTATCTCTTAATACAATTTCAAAATCAAGTACTACAGTAGTATAAAAAGTAAGTATTATATAGAAACTGGTCAGTTTAATGCGATTAACCAATCATGAAAAGATCTAAAGGTCACGGGAATGGCTTAAATTAGATCTTCGACTAGAAGATTATTATTTAGCTGGTAATGCCCCATATATTATTTATACTATATTTTATATCAATACCAGGAGGTTTGATTATAGTTGAGTTAATAAAATATCAGGTTATAGACCGGAATTCTTTCAATTTATGCAAGTTATTGTATATATATAGGTTATTAATAAAGAAATAAATTACATCTTACAGAACCTTTTAATTTAAGTATATTTTTATATTGAATTATATATTTATTTAACCAATTTAACATCCTGGCCACATTTTTTTCAGTGCACTTCTCATATAAATTAGAAAGTGCAACGTAATACATGGCAGTGCTTGATAAGTTATTTTAAGAGATATGTATTTACAAAATGCACGTTTTCATACATTACTAAATGCAGTATTCATTTAAACAACGCGTATAATTGAATTCTATTGTATTACGTGTGTTATTTGCAAGTGAAAATTAAAAATTTATTATAAAAATCTATTTTTAAACTTCCTGATTTATAAACGGTATAGATTTTAAGTTGGAATTCTATACACGAAGCTTTCTAAGATTAATTAAGCATATTTGTTAAAAGCTATTTTCACAATAATATTTCTGAAACAAGAATTGGTGTATTTACGCGTCGTTAAATATCTTATATTACAAATATATATTGTATCATTACTTATAAATTATACTAACCGGTCTAATCTCTACATGCACTTAAGCTTTATTTCTTTGTTTAATATCCTTACTTAATTTAAAAGCGATACAAACCTTTTGCTTAATCTTTCAAATGATTCCTAAAACAAGGACAAAAATCGATGCACATTTCTGAGTGTTTAAAAGTATTTGAGAGCCCAGAAATTTATACGTACAAAAAATATTAATTACAGTAATAATGCCCAATTGGTTTGACGCTGGCGTTGGTATTGCTTAAAATGTACAATAAAAAAAAATAATAAATTCAACATGTTTTTAAAATCTGTGAGAAATTTCCAACACACGGATTAAAAATTCCGCTTCCTGCAATAGTCATGGTGCGTGCAAAAAAACTATATAAACTTTTCATTTTCACTTAATAGCGAGCAAAATTTAAATCAACAATTTTTAAACATGCTTGTCGCTCGTCAACACAACAACAAAAAAAGGTCCAGAACTATTTACTACGAACATATTCAAAAAGCGAGAATATTATCTAATGAAAATGCTGAATATCTGGCTGACCAAACAAAAGACGAAACGTCCATTCGAATTTACAAAAAATTTGCAATCGTATCCATGTCCGTGGACTTTGTTACTCCACCACTTATTGACGATGTCATAGAAATAATCATGCGATGCTGAATCGAATCAACCTTTAAAGAGGTACTAGAGGGCGAATTCATACAAGAGGATGGTTTGTATTGCGCCTGCTCCTTTGCGTGGAAAAGCTTTCCCATCATATTCTGGTCAGAATTCGAAAAAAAGAAGGCAACCCTAACAACAATGTCATACTCTGAATTCCTCATGCGTGTGTTTAGAAACAAAGCTTTCAAAATCTTGTTATGCAAAGAAGCTTGGCAAAACAAAGAAAGAGCACACCAAATCGCAAAAACTATGGCAAAAGAACTCCTAGATCCAAAAATTATGTATATAATGAACCCAAGAGATCTAATAAAGCCGTTCCTCTCGGTAAATGCCTTTACCAAAATCCTGCACACAAAATTACAAATTCTTTACAATCGTAAGGTCACCTTCAAAGCGAACTTCATTGAACTCTTAAGACATTGGCTTGATGTAGATAAATTCATAGATAACTTGTACAATCCAGACTTCATGAAACGCACGAGCGCCAACAACATTATTGTATCACATATATTGTCAGATATGCCGTTCCTCTATGGATGGCTCGCTGCTCGTGGTCCTTACAATACCGACGACGATATGATTAGACATCTCAAAATACACCTGGAAACGTTTAATTGGTCTATCAGGAAATACTGGATATTTGCGTTGGCTTTTGATAAACAAACAGCCAGAGATGCCGCGAACACGTTAATAGCTCTGATATTTCACAAGTCGTATTCTCTTTTTAAAAAATATCTTACGGACCTTGAAGAAGAAATTATTCTTGGAAATGATTGGACTGCAGGTGATAACATAAGAGAAATTAAATGCCTTGAAAACTACACATACCTCTTCAGAAACGACGAAGCCAAATCAACCATGCTCGAAAGTTTCATGTGCAACTGCCACCAGGCTCCGATTAATAACACGGCAAGAATAGCCTGCGAGGTGTCCATTAGTACTTTGGTTGAATTATTGTTTGAGACTTCGAATAGCCCTCAAAAATAGTAAAATTATCATGTAGTCTATCTTAAAAATACCTTTACTTTATAATAAATATTCAATTAACAATGTATTTTATTATATTTATAATATATACTAAATAAAAAATAGATGTGTTATTAATACAGTAATAAATATTCATTATTGTTACACGATATTAGTATTAGATCTTGTGCAATATTCTAGTGTTGTCAATCAGGCAAACCATTTAATATTCTTTTGAAGAGTAGATTTCTTTCACGTTATTTCAATAGCATCCCTAATTTTTTAAACCTGTTTTTCCTTTTTTTTAAAAAAAAATTTAACGTAGTTAGTGAATATATTATTACCTTAGCT